GAATCCTGGCACACCTTTCTTACCCCCACGCTCATGCCCCTGTCTTTAACCTTGCTTTTCCTTTTCCCCCTTCATCACCCTCTCCTGCTGTTTCCTTCAGTACCTGGGCAGAATGAATGTCTTCGTCATATGCTAGGGGCTCTCTTTAAAGATGAAGCTTAGAGGAAAAATGATCCTTATACTATTTATATCTGTAGCTGTACACAGAATCCCCTGAGTGCTTCCTGAAACCCATCTGAGCCTTTGCTTCTAGCCCATCTCTATTTCTCTCTGCCACCCACCAGCCTGCAGAAGCCAGCCTACCAGGGAACCCACAGCTACCACTTTCCTAAGATCCAGAGAGAGCAACAGAAACCCAGGAATGGAACAACATTACTCAACAAAGACGGGACCAGATATCAACATCTACTGGCAACTCAACCACCCTAAGCCCAGACGCCTAGACACAAACATGAATGGCCAAGACAGTATGCCTCCAGCAGAACCCAGTAACCCTACTCCAGTAGGCCGTGAGAAAGGAGATATAGCTGAAGCACAAGGCAAGGACTTCAAAATAGCAATTACAAACATGATTAAGGACCTAAAGAGGACATGAGTGAATCCCTTAGTGAAGTCTGTGAAAACACAAACAGTAGAAGGAAATGAATAAAACAGTTCAAGACTTAAGTGCAAATAAAATCATAAATAAAACCCAAACTGATTGGGCAGTGGTGGTGGCTCACACCTTTAATCCCAGCACTCCGGAGACTGAGGCAGGCAGAAGATGATCTCTGTGAGTTCAAGGCCAGCCTCGTCCTAAGAGCAAGTTCCAGAACAGGCTTCAAAACTACAGCAAAACCCCGTCTCTAAAAACAAACAAACACAAAACCCCCAAACAAACAAACAAACAACAACAAACAAACAAACTGAAAAACTGGAAAGGGAAAACTTAGGAAGTCAAACAAAACCCTCAGAGGTAAGCCTGGCCAACCGAGTACAAGACATGGAAAAGAGACTCTCAAGATGATGAAGACAAAGTAGAAGAAATGGATACGTTAGTCAAAGAAATGTTAAATCTAAAAATATCCAGGCACAAAACATCCTGCAAACATCCAGGACATTATGAAAAGATTAAATCTACAAATAACAGGAATAGAGGAAGGTGAAGAAACCCAGGGTCAAAGGCACAGGAAATATTTTCAACAAAATCATAAAAGAAAATTTCCCCAACCTAAAGAAAGAGGTGCCTATCAAGGTACAAATAGCCCTAGAAAAGAAATTCCCCATAGTAATTAAAACACTAAGCCTACAGAACAAAGAAAGAATATTAAAATTAACATGTAAAAGCAGACCTGTTAGAACAACAGCTGACTGTTGCAGACCCTGAAAACCAGAAGGGCCTGGATGGGTGTTCCACAAACTCTAGGAGATGGCAGATGCCACTCCAGACAAAACTATCTGTAGATTTATAGATCTCTATACCCAGCAAAATTTTCAATCACAATAGATGGAGAAAGAAAAATCTATCTACCAATCTTGCTCTACAGAAGGCACTAGAAGGAAAACTGCAGCCTGGAGGGGCTAGCCATACTCAAGAAAACAAGGAATACATAATCCCCGAACAGTAAATTAAAAGGAGAAAACTCACACCAGAATTAACAGAATAACAAGATCAATAAAAATTGCTCATTGGTAACTTCCAATCACAGTTTCAAATTTCCCAATAAAAAGATACAAGGTACAGACTGGGATAGAATTCAGGATCCACCCTTCTGCCGCTTCCAAGAAACACACTTTAATAACAAGGACAGACATCAGCTCAAGGTAAAAAGATGGAAAAAGATATTCCAAACAAATAGACCCCAAAAGCAAAAGAGTGTATCCATTTTAATATCTGACAAAATAGATTTCAAACCAAAACGAATCAAAAGAGATCAGGAAGGACACTACACACTCACCAAAGGCAAAATCTACCCAGAATATTGTAAAGTACATGTTGACCCTCACACACTGATAGAGGGAGACTCCAATGCCTGACGACTTCCACCAATGGAAAAGTCCTCCAAAACAAAAACTAAACAGAGAAATGCTGGTGTTAACAGACATTATAAACCAAATGGACCTAACCTATCTACAGAACATTTCACCCAAACCCAAATGAATATGACTCCTTCTCTTCACCTTATGGAATTTTCAACAAAATTAACCACATACTCAGATACAAAGCAAATCTCAACAGATACAAGAAAGCGAAAATAACACCCTGCATCCCACATGACCACCACGGATAAAGCTGGGCATCATCAGCAACAGAAACAACTGAAAGCTCACAAACTCATGGAAACTGAACAACTCTACTGAATGGAAAAATGGGCCAAGACAGCAATCAAGAAAGAACTGAATGAAAATGAAAACACAAAACTATGGGTACAATGAAGGCAGTTCTAAGAGGCATAGCATTAAGTGCCTACAAAAAAATCTGTAGAGACTGCATATTAGGAACACAGCTGCATACCTGAAAGCTCAAGAACAATAAAAAGAAATCACACACACCCCAAAAGAACAGACAGCAAGAAACAAACTCAGCCAATAAATCAATGAAATAAAAACAAACACAATTAAAAACAAACAAACAAACACAGAACAGTGAAGACAAAATGGGGGACATAAGAACAGGCATAGAGGGAACCTAGAGAATCATAAGGACATATTTTCAAAACTTGTACTCCATGAAACTGGAACACCTAAAAGAAATAAATTTCTTGATATATATATATATATATTGAAATAGAAGCAGTCATAAAATGTAGGGAGACTGGAGTGGGAACATTAAATAGAGAGAGGAAAAAGGGGGGTAAGGGGAAAATGGGGAAGGACAACTAATACTAAGGGCCATTTGAGGGGTCATATGAAAAACTACTACTGTAGCTTATTAAAATACATAGAGAAACCGGGTGTTGGTGGCGCACGCCTTTAATCCCAGCACTTGGGAGGCAGAGGTAGGCAGATCTCTGTGAGTTCGAGGCCAGCCTGGTCTACAGAGTGAGTGCCAGGATAGACTCCAAAGCTACACAGAGAAACCCTGTCTTGAAAAACCAAAACAACAACAACAACAACAACAACAACAACAACAAAAATACATAGAGGAAAGAAATCAAACAGATGCTAAGGCCCTATTGCTAAAGACTATCCCTACATATCTCACTGAGCATGGAGAAGCCAAGCTGGTGCCCAGTTAGAGCCTTCACCCCTGCTGACTAGTCCTCTGCTTGCTACCAGAGGAGAAAGGTACCCCAACCCAACTACCAACCCAGTGATGTAAAATGATGACACCCCTACATGACATGCTGGTGAAATAGTGGCACAGATGTTGTGGGAGTAAACAACCATTCTCTGATGGGATTTAAGTCCCATTCCATGAGATAGAACCCATGCCTGGCACTGCTCAGGTGGCTAAGAACCTGAGACAAGATAGGCCATGCACTTAGGGGAAACCAAATACTGTTGTTGTGCTAAAGGAACATAGCAATAAAACGGCTCCTAATGACACTCTGCTACATTCAGAGATCAGTGTCTAACTCGGCCATCATCCGAGAGACTTCTTGCAGTAGATGGGAACTAACATAGAGACTGACAACAGGACAGTGAACAGAGAGTGAAAGACTCCCACACTCAGTCCTCAACGGGATGTAATCGTCAAACCCTCCCCTCATGGCTCGGTCTGCTACGTGGAAGAGGAGGTGGAAAACTGCAAGAGTCAGAGATGAGGATGACTCCAAGGACACAGCGTCTTCCAACACAACAGGGCCGACAGACACACCAACTTAAAAACTATGCCAGTAGGCACGGGCACACAGGTTCAAGTCATACAGGGTCCCAGCACCCAGAGGAGGAAGTAGACACGGGCCCCACCCCTAACCAAGAAATTAGCTGCAAATGACATCTGCTTCCAAAGGAAAAATTAGTTTTCTTCAATGGAGTCTCATGTGCGTGTGTATTTCCTGAACTTTCTCTTTTTTACCTATTTATTTATATTCTGGTTTGTCTGCTTTTTGGTTTGCCTGTTTTTCAGTGAGAGAGGGAAAGAAGGGGTGAAGTTGCGTGGGTGGAGAGCTGGGAGGAGTTGGGGGAGGGAAACTATGATCAGAATACATTATATGAAAAAAATTATTTAAAATGAAAAGGTATAACATAAAATAGCTATAACTTTAATTCTGGTTGTTTCATGAAAGCAATACTACTTACTCTATTTCTAGCACAGGCATGCATGCAACCACACATGCACACACACTTATTTTTATGAATCAGGTCTTGCTGTGGAGCCTTAGCTGCTCTGAAACTTGCTATGTGAACCAGGCTGGCCTTGAGTTTCCAGTAGTGCCTCCTCCTGGCCTCTGCCCCCAAGCACTGGGACTACACCAGGAATGTGTGGCTTTGTCTGGACACACCTGGAATTTGTACATTAGATAATATCACAACAGCGCCTAAAATCAAGTTATGAATGTTTCAAGAGTTCAAAGGTTTAAAATTCAAAAAGAGAATACAGGTGGTTTAGACATAATTGCAGTTTGAAAATGACAAAACATAAATGTTTTATACACTATAACTTCCTATAATTAGGCAAATATTCACTGCCATCACCTACACATTTTTAAAAAACATCTGACACATTCTTACAGAAGCTTGTATACACAATATTTACTACTACTTTGTTTCAAATCATAGCTAATAGTGCTCTAAAAGAAAGTCAGCATGGAATGTAAACGTGGATGCAGCAGATCATCTGACACTGACGCACATGGAAACAAGGTATTACTTGTTAGACACTCCAGTTAATTCTGACAGCACACTCCTGTAGTCCCAGCAGTTGAGAGTCCAGGGCAGGAGACTCAGGAGTTCCAGGTCATCCTTGGCTACATTGTTGAGTTTAACACAGCAGCATGAGGTGTGTGAGAGACTCCTGTCTCAAACAAGCAAGCAGATTGGTTCAGATAACCAAAAGCTAAAAACTCAACAGAACCTGCTTTTATATACTTTCATATATTCATTTTTTTCAATCAGATGATTCCTTTCAGACTTGCTAAGATCAGGGCTATAATACATAGCTGACAGTCCTCTGTAGAATGAATAAAATCTATTCACTTTAGAGATCAAAAATTATAAAACTTTTTTTATAAATTATGTCATTAAAATGAACGTATTTATTAAAAATGTAAGTGAAAAATATTTAATTATTTTAGGGCAGTCAAAACACAATATATGATTGGTATCTTGGTGGTTGAAAGTAATCACTTTACCACATGCATTGTAAACATTCCATTCATTTAGAGTTGATAGGTAATTTAAAACTGAGTTTTAATCAAAGTTATTTTCAAACATTGTCATAATGTCGCTTTGAAGAGTCATATCAATGGTACCCGCCATCTGTAGAAAAGAGAAGATTCTCATTAGTTAAGATGCATGCTTTTATTACAGCTTTATACAATCACACATTTGGAAAAATTTCATTTAAAATATAAATGATTAACTTACTGACCATATATGTAATTTTAAATTAAACACATAGGTGGTTCCTTTAAATATACTATACATGTAATAAAATGCCACAAAAACATTTAGGTTTAATTCTCCAATGAAGAAGAGTATCTCAGTGAGAATGCAAGCTGTGGCCATCACAGCACTAGGCACAGGGAGTTGCCTTAACCAGACTAGAAAGACGGCTCAGTGATTTAGGTGAGCCAGACAAAAGACCTGACTTCAATTCCCAGCACCCATGTCAGGTGGCCCACAACTACCTGTAACTCTAACCAGGCAGACTTACTCCTCTGGCATCCATGGGCATGAGCATGTCACACACTGACACACACACATACACACACACACACACCTTTTTAAAGTTTAGTCTTAGCAATACAATACACAATCCCCGTGTGAGAGGGTTTGTATGCTAGCATATAGTGTAAAGCTCTCGGCTTTCATTGATTCTGGCACTGACTAGTAACTGTTTATGAGAATGGGATCAAAGCGCAGGGCAGTGCTAGGGAGAGTGCTCTTTTGCATATTAGCAATCTTTAAGAAATGAGCTAAAGAAGCAGAAAATGCTGAGTCAAACAAAAGAAGCGTGATCACTACATTCGCAGGCTGCTTTTGTCAAGCAAAGTTGGAAGTTATTAAAAAAAAGGTTTTAGTACAGACTGTAGCACAAGCATAAGAGGGAATGAGTGACACTCAAGGGGAAATGCTCTAGTGTGGGCATGCGTTTCTAGGGGAGTCCTTTAAGATTCTTCTAAATGTTCCTTACCATGTGAAGTAAATAGCAAACATTAATTTAAAAGGGCTCCACCCCCTCCCCACAGCAGATCAGTGAGATGCAAAAGCTCTGGTCTGTTGCCAGTTGGTTGGCTTCTTGGATGTGAGCTGGTGGTTTCACTAGTTGTATAGGAAAGGATTTAGAGCTATGGCCTACCTACCAAAAGGATAATAAAAGGCTTATTTTTCCAGCACTACAAAGAGGGGTGGGCATGTCTGATTCTAACAGACTATAAGAAATCCTTAAAGTTTGCCTTAGAGATTTAGAGATGAATAAACAACAATAAAACTTAAAATCAGGACATTTTGAATGCTCAGCCAGTTGTCTAGTCTGAATATTTTCTTGAAGCCTGCCATGTAAGAGCTGGAAAAGTTGTCCCAGTCTAAGTATCATGCAATGCTGCTCTATACGTAGGCACACTGGAAAACTTGAAGAAAGTGTAATGAATCCTTCTTTTACATTTAAGTAAAAATGAAAATCTTTATCTTGAAGGTTGCATGTAGAATCTTATTGTAGATTCACATCTATCTTAGCTAAAATTGATTTGTGTAGAACACTTCCAAACAAACTCTTCACCAATTAACGTTAGGGATCATGACTTAAAATACCACTTGACTTTGCAGCAAGTACTGTAAGGCTGGATATTCCTTTCTCTGTGGTCCCAATCACAGATGGAGGGCTACAGGGCTGATGAAGGTGACTGCCATGATGTGGACTTTGAGTGCTGTTAAATGTTCTAGGACTAGTCAAGCTCCTGAAAAGTGCTTAGGATATCGGGAATGACCTCAGGCTGAGATGGGTTGCTAGGGGATGCTAGACTTTTGTAAAAGTACTGGAATATGACTAAAGTCAGGTACTTGTATCAACAAGAGGATTCATGAATTTTTAAGAAAGCAAAAACAATCCTCCAAACGTCTGAAACAGATAACAGAACATGCCCATCACAGTAGGAACTTCTACAAAAGCAGTGTTATATGGTAAACTCTGGGGCAGGGGATGTAGCTCAGGGCTAGAGGCTGTTCATAACATGTATAAAACCCTGAGTTTGATCTGCAGCACCACAAATAATAAAACAATCTCTGTATAACACTGTTAACTGCCATTCATTTCTGCTTGAGGCCAAGGCCTCTGATCCTAGTATTCAAGAAGCTGGGTCAGGCTCATGGGGAGTTCAAGGAGAGCTTGGACTACGAAGCTAAGAGCCTATGCATGAAACAGGAAAGTAGGGAAGAAGGCAGGCAGAATTTTGTTTGTTGTTTCCTAAGAAGTTAACTTGTACTGTAATTAATACCATAGCCAAATGTTGTAGGACAATCCTTTTGTCTACTGTGTCTTTGCCAAGGCACCTTCTGATTAGTCTAATAAAGAGCTGAATGGTCAATAGCTGGACAGGAGAGAGGATAGGCAGGACTTCTGGGGAGAGGGAGGAACTGGAGATGAATCTAGGGTGTGAGAGGTGACAGTGAGACGTGGCACAAGTCGGAGGTACAGAATGGGAGAGAGGTAAAAGCCACTTGGCAGAGCATAGATTAATAGAAACAGGTTAGTTTGAGTTATAAGAGTAGTTGGGAACAAGCCTAAGCTAAAAGCCAAGCTTTCATAATTAATAGTAAGTCTCTGTGTCATTATTTGCACTGGCAGTCCAATGAAAGTCCGAGGAGAAAGCATACTACAAAGAAGAACATAGGTATGCATCAGATGAACACAGTCACAGTGGTAACCCCAATACTCCCATCAACAGATCATTTAGACAAAAACATGGCTCACAACCATCCGTTATGAGATCTGGTGCCCTCTTCTGGTGTGCAGATATACATGGAAGCAGAATGTTGTATACATAATAAATAAAATATTAAAAAAAAGAAACCTGAACATTTACCACATTTGCTGTGACACCATTCACAACAGTTAAGCACACACCAACAGATAAATGTATAAATAAAAGGTGGTATGTACGTGTCTGTTTCTGTAATGGATCACCCCTCAACTAGTAAGACTGCAATCATGTATTGGCAGGAAAATAAATAATGGAGTATGTAGAAGCTAGATTTTTGCGAAAGTCATGAAAAAGAAGGGAAACTATTTGACAAAGAGACCAGTGGGAGGGGGTTTTAGTTAAGAGTAGGTTGTGGGGTATGAATATGACCAAGGTATATTAATAATGAAACTAGTTACAATTTACATAAAATATTGAAATGTACAAACATGGAAGATACAGAGTGATTATTAATGGGAACTTTTGACTTACTGTGTGTGTGTATGAGTGTGTATATGTGTGGTGTATGTGTGTATGTGTTGTGTTTTGTGTGTGTGTGTGTGAGTGTGTGTGTGTGTGTGAGTGTGTGGTGTGCGTGTAAGTGTGTGTATGTGTGTTTAAGTGTGTGTGGTGGGTGTGTGCACATGCCCGTGGAAGCCAGAGATTGACATTGAGCATCTTCCCTGATTGCCCTCCATCTTCCATATTGAGGCAGGTCTCTCAGTTGAACCCAGAGCTCACTGATCCAGTCCCTCTAGCTAGCCAGCCTGCTCTGGTGGTTCCTGTTTCCACCTCCCAAGTGCTGAGATGTTGGCAGGTCTCAATACTCCTCGAGTCTATGCAGGTTCTGGGGATCTGCATGTTGGTCCTCCTGCTAGCACAGCAAGTGCTTTACCCACCGAGCCATCTCTCCAGCCCCAAACTATGGACTTAAGGAACTGATGGTGGCGGTAGTGTTGTTAAAGTCTGTCCACTGGGTATGACACACTGCCATGTGACGTTAAAGCAGCACTGATTACCACACAGGAGACTCTCACAAGATCAGGCACTTCCTTCCTCACGGAGGAGGAGAGGGCTCAAAGGTGAATGGCACCTTTTCCATTCTGAGGATACAGCAGCAGTTAACTGGTGGGGATGGGAGACTGCACAGATGCAATAGTGCTCCTATGAATAGCCCCTCACCCAGGCTTGCTCTGGGAACAACTCCAGCTGCACTCATGGGCTTACCAAGCTAGGTTTAGTCAGTCGTTAGTGTCCCAATTGGAGTAAACAGACACACCATACAATATTTGACACTTGAGCATGGGAACCAAGCACAGTTGCATTGTCCCTGCGAGTGATGTGACAGGACATGCCTCTTAAGGTAAATCAGCTGAGTCCCTCTTATCAGGTTGAGTTGTATGCTGTCTATTGTCACCTTGCTGATTTTCTTTCTTTCCAAATTTCTTTCTTTTTTTCTTTTTCTTTTTTTCCCCGAGACAGGGTTTCTCTGTGTAACCCAGGCTGTCCTGGAACTCACTCTGTAGACCAGGCTGGCCTCAAATTCAGATCTGCCTGGCTTCACCTCCCGAGTGCTAGGTTTAAAGCTGTGCACCACCACCTCCTGGCTCTTTTCAAATTTTTTTAATCTAGTCATCAGCTAAAGAGACACAAGAAACATTGACCAGGAAGTCATGGCATATCTGAAGTCGTAAGTGAATAGTGAATTTCTTCTTTCTGTGCTTAGTGCATATTAATTTATTTCACACCAGGGAATCATTATTCCCCTTTTTAAATTAAGTCACAGGAAAATGAAAAAGTTAAGAGGAGAGCCCATGCAGTCCAGGGTTCCACAGGCTGCTCTGCACTACCTCCAGCTGTTTCTTCTGATTGTGAGGCCTGTGCGCTAAGCTCTTATGTTAGACCCACCAGTCAGAGTGGACTTACTGCTTCTCTCCTCCTCCGTTCTTGCTCCTTCTCCCTTGCTAAGTTCCGGTCTTTGAGAAGCCAGAGTTTGCTTTTGTCTTGAGCTTCCGATGGCTGTTGTTCATCCTGCTCTTCTTCATGACACTTGCTTTCCATTTTATTTGATAAAGATTCTAGCGGCAAGCCATTTCCAAACTCCCTTAAATAAACAGGAGGGATTAAAGTAGGTTTTAAGTTCCTTAATTTTTTTTTTTTTTAACAAAGACGTGATTGACGTGATTAAACAATGACAACGAAAAGCAACGCATGGTTCCCATGTTGTCAGAGTTCCTCCTCTCCCCCCTTCTCCCTCCTTCCTTCCTTTCTCAACAGGGACCTCATGTGGCTAAGGATGACTTTAAACTTCTGATCCTCCTGCCTTCATCTTCCCTGATGCAGGGATTACAGGCATGCGATTCCACATGGGGATCAAATCCAGGATCTGGGACACACGAGGCAAACATTGCACTAACTTAGCTACATCCCCAAGCCACTGAACTTTGCTTTTGATGTGACAGGTTTTGTTTGGGTAATCTATATTAACAACAAAAAAGAAAAGTTTTATACACCATGGCCCACCCACAACACTATCTTCCTACATTAGAATGGAAAAACTTGGAAGATAGTTCTGGAAAATACAGCCTTTATAATTTAACATTTGCATCTTTACTAGCTTGATTTCTTGCTATTTTTGTCTTTTTAAAAAATATATACAACCATTTAGAGAAATACTGCTACACTTTTTTAAACTACAATTTGTTGTGTGTTCTACTAGACAACTGAATCACAGTAACTTGGCAGATTGTCAGGTATATCTCTGTACCTCCCAAAGCCTGACTGAAGCCAAAGTCACAAACCTCTGATTTTCATGAGACACTTTGGGTTCCTTTGAGCTGGGCTCTAGGTGTTTCCGAGTCTGCTCCTGTGTCCGGGCCTTGACCTCTTTCTCTATGGCAGCTTTTCTAAACTGGTTGAAAAGCTCATCTGAGGATTTCAGTACACTCGATGGTTTCACTGGCTTGCCTAGACTTTTCCAAGAGTCTGCATTCTTAATCTTTATATCCTAAAGTAGACAGATATTTGATTCAGCCTATGTTTATAGATATTAATCAAATTTTGGAAGGAAAGTGGTATCTTCTGACTTGGTAATAGAGCAGGCTAAGGCTGGAAGGGCCTTTGTGGACTCTGACTTCAGTTAGGGAAAATAGATAATTTAAACTTAGCTGTTTCACTAAAATAACAAGGTTGTACATGGTTTTCAATGTGGTTCACTCTGCGTACTAACTGAAGGAATGGTTAGATTTTGTATCCAGACAATAATCCTAAGCATTAAGAAACAGTGAGGTGGAGGCTTGTGCCCTAAGTACTTCTAAGAAAGGAGAAGGGATCCAGCACCTTCATCGTTTGAAAATTGGTGTCAAATGCCTGGAACAGGACCTCTTAGTTAAAGTATCCCAAGCATCTAGAAGATAGGTTGAAAAAAAATGCTGCTAGTATGTGCTCTGAAGGTTAGGGAACTCTTCCACAGACTCTAAAGACGGGCTAAAAACCTAAGTAAAGGACTTATTATGGCAGGTAGCAGGTACATTTTCTTATATGTATTCTTTTTTTTTTTTGACATAAGCAAAAGTTAGGATTAGGTATCCAATCTTATTTTAGTTAGTGTTTACACATCTTTGATATAATCCATATTAAATCTTAAGTCCTCTCAACATTTGAGAATATTCACATTATTTTACCTTCTGCACAGGAACATGACAGCCTGGATCTAGTGCTGAGTGACTCTCAGCAGAGGTAGGTACCACAATGGGGCCGTTAGAGGCATGTTTGGAATCACCTAGAAACACACACCCTTTAGAAAAGCATAATGGAAATACTTGAGCGTACTTATTCAGAGCTTAATTTTCATTTCCTTCCATGTCAGACACCACAAAAATAAAACAGCCAGATGTAATGGCACATGCCCTTGATCCCAACAGTCAAGAAGCTGAGGCAGGAGAGTCATGATTCGAGGTCAGCTTGTATTACTTATTAGTACAAGATTAAGAAAAAAAAGATCTGATTAAGAAACAAGAAAAACAAAACAATGAAAGACCAAGACACACACAGACACACACACAGAGAGAAAATAAAATGATTAAGCTCTCTATGCATTATAACTATCGTATTATTTGCTGGGTTATGAGTAAACATTTCTCACTTGAAGGTGCCCTTTGTTTTTACTGTTTTTGTTTTGGGACCATGAAGGTTAGCTGGCATCATGGCTGACACACACCATGATGTGGAGCAAGGCTGTTTTCACCATATGCAGCTCTCCAGTCTGTAGACTGGTTTCAGCTCCAGAGGTATATCTGGATTATGCTAAACTGTCATGAAAATTCTGCCTTCCTCTGGTGAGTAAAAAAAAAGAACAAAACCAGGAAAGGCTTCCAGGAAGGCGGGACATGGCACTAGATGGTCAATGTGAGAATAAAAAACACAGACAATAGGACAATGCATACTATAATGCCAACCTACCAGACAAACAGTGCAACAGTTGTGTGGCTGTTGTGTGGGTAACCAACTGCTTTCTGAGTGTATCTGAGGTTTGTTCCACAGGAAGAACTCATACCTGGAAGTGTAAACTTGGTCAAAAGCTCATGACTGGAGACATCAAAGACCACAGGAGAGAATCTACTTCTATTTGGTTAAGTGATCATATTGTCTTCTCATTATTTATGTTTACACCCTTAGATATGTGCTCTCAACTGTGGTTAGGAAATCTTTTTGCAGTGGGCAGCCATGCAGAGAGACGCATAACTGTTCTAAGCACTGAAAAATATGCCTGGGGGAGTTCAGTTCTGAAGGCCACTTGGCATATCACAATACTCTGAAACTCCTTTCTCGAATCCTCACCTCTGTTCCATTCTGCTACCTTGAGCCAGCCAGGGCCATCCTGACTCACCTGTAATTAACACAGCACAGGTGCCTCTAATGAAGTGCTCAGTTCACCTACCAAGTCTTTCAACTTTTTCATTTTCTTTCTTCCTACCACTTACTTCATTTCCTCACACAACTGTAACATCTCTATTGTCTTCCCTAGAACAATCACACCTTCTTTCTCTCCTAAGCATTTAATGTGTGTCTCCAGGAGGGGACACAGTGTTCCATCTACCCTGGAGACTGTGCTTGTCCTCTGGGCACACTTGGCCCTGCCTTAGCCGGCCCACCAGTCTGTCTGTCTCTGTCTCTCTTGTTTATGGTTTATTCAGGGTTTGTGGCTTTGTTGTTGTTGTTTGTCTTTTTGAACTGGGAATTGAACCAGGGGCCTCATGTATGCTTACCATATAGTCTACCATTGAGTTACAAGCCTAGTCCCTGGTTTTCTCTGATCTCTGTTTCCTTCTCCACAAGGATGATTATAACTTGAGTTAAAAACAAAACAGAAAAGCATGGAGTCTCACAATGAAAGCAACAAGAGAATCAGAGCCCCTGTGTTCCTCCTAATCTGGAGTTCAATGTCATTCCCGGGTACACGGTGAGTACAAGGAGAGTTTGGAGTATGTGACTCTGACTCAAAAAGAAAAACAGAAATCCTACTTGGTTTTCTCCACATTATTGCAGCTTACTTTTCCCCACATAGGTGTTAGAACAGCATTTACCAAGGTAGCTAAAATATGGTGCTTAGGTTGAGTATTGAAAAAGATTTTTCACCATTCTATATACCCAAGAAAATTGATTATAAGTAAATAAATATAGTGAGTGCTTATGTATATAAAGCAGACAGTTTTTTGGGTTTTTGTTGTTGTTTTGGTTTGGTTTGGTTTGGTTTTTGGTTTTTCGAGACAGGGTTTCTCTGTATTGCTTTGGAGGCTGTCCTGGAACTCGCTCTGTAGACCAGGCTGGCCTCAAACTCAAAGAGATCAAAGCAGGCAGTTTTTAACAGTATGCTGCGGTGAGGAGTTCATCCTGGACCTGGCTCATTCAGTGTTTCTCAGATGTGTAACACTGACAATACCCTAAGTGTTCTCACATGTGGCGTCAGCCAGAGTGGCTTCCTTGTGTTTCTTACCTGAAAGAGGCTGAGTCTGCACAGATGCAATGCTCCCCGTGGTCTGTGGATGTTCTAATACACGGTGGCCATGCACCTGCTGGGATTGCTTCCCTGCTGCTCCAGCTGTAGTCTGCTGAGCAACAGGATGTTCGGCAGAGGCTGTGTCTTGCACAGAAGACTGTATCTGCTGGACAAAGATCAAGTTACCCTTCAGAGTTCTTACCACACACACAAGAAGCACAACAAGAGAACTGGAGCACAAGAAGTGAGCAAGCAGCAGACTTTAATGAAAATGTGTTATAAGCACAGAGACCTGCTCAAGGAGGCCCTGTAGAGGAGGGTACCACAGTTTATGAAATTTAAATAGCTTGTTCGATGCCTATGATCTTAGATCTTCAGAACCCTGAGGGCTGATCTTCTAGTCTTTGTTTACACACAGGACTCTACATACCCTGTTTTGTGCACCAAGACATAAGCATTCCTCTGCATCCACAATATTGAGGCTGAGCTGGAGTTTCTAGAACTTACTCTACTTTTTTTTTTTTTGAGACAGGGTTTCTCTTCGTAACTTTGGAGCCTAGAATTTACTCTACTTAACTGACATATTTATAGTCAACATTCTTTAAGAGAAAGTCTTTAAAAAAAACAAGCTGAAAACAGTGACTTTTTAATGTAAGAAAAAAATGTGTTATTTTTCTCTTCTTTTTGCATCTCTTGCTATACAATGGTCCTCCTTTCTCTTCCTCCTTAGTGCTGACAACATTTATTGGCACTACCACACCCAGAACGCCACCCACCCCCCAATGTTTTGAAGAAAGTTACTACTACACCAGCCATTACAGCACATATACTGTTTTCAATGCTGATGTTAAAAGATTCAGCTTACCTTTATATTCTCTTTTGGAGGCAAATCATTCTGTTTTGTGCCAGTAAATTTAGGACATATTTCTGAAAATGTATATAGATAATTATTTCAACATTTGTAAGCTTAAAAAAACTACCAACTTACAACTTTTCCATATTAGAAATGTTCTTAGAATCATGAAACTGAGAACCTGTCAAAGGGACCCAACTGTCACAGGACATTGTCAGTCAAAGGGACCGAACTCCCTGGTCACAGGATATCAAAGGGCACAAGTTTTCAGGAGCTCTGTTATAAAGTGATTATGGCCGATGATATGTTGCATATTTGAAAAATGCTAACACAGAAGATTTTATGTATTTTTTTTTTTTTGGTTTTTCGAGACAGGGTTTCTCTGTATAGCTTTGGAGCCTATCCTGGCACTCTCTCTGGAGCCCAGGCTGGCCTCAAACTCACAGCGATCCACCTGCCTCTGCCTCCCGAGTGCTGGGATTAAAGGTGTGCGCCACCAACGCCCGGCGATTTTATGTATTTTCAACACAGAGAATACGTTGTGGCAGACATGTTAATGTTATTGATTGAATTGTTCTAAGATGCATGCATATATCAAAAACATGTCAGACACCCCAACATGTTGTTACTGTTTTTCAACAAAAGAAATAAAACTTTTGGGGTTCACAGAAAAAAAAAGAAAGAGAAAGGGCTCACTTCAAAAGAATACCTTCAATACCAATCTCTTGTACCAGGAAATTCTTACAGTCACAGATTTTGTCCTATTCAAACTAAGCCACTTTAGTTTAAATGGGTAAAGATATTTTCCACAATCTTCTTTGCTCATGATGGAATAAACACCCCATTCAGAAATTCCACTTTGGATTACATTCAGGAAAAAACCAAGTGTGCTCCTTCAGCGTAAGGAACTTCAGTGAGAATTTAAAAAGAAAGTTACAAAACAGAGCTCAAGTTTTCAGACAGCAGAACCAATTACACCAGATAAAGAGTCACACATGCAGCTCCACAGGGCTTAGTGAAAATCATCAAGAACACACCACATGAGAAACAAGAGCTACTTACTTATCTGCAAGGATACACAAGGTGAATTTATTATAAGTCAAACACTCGATGCCCTTGCTAAACTTGAAGATCCATCTAATTTAATAACCCTGTACTTGAAAACTAGTTGGCAGTTTCTACTAGATAGAAACAAGTTGTTTGTTTTTGAGGCAGTGTCTCATATAGCCCAGGGTGGCCTCAAACTCACTCTGTACTGAGAATGACCTTGAATTACTCATCCTCCAGCCTCCACCTCTCAGTGTTGGGACATCACACCTGGTTTGTGTGATGCTAGGGATGGTACCCAGGCTGTGTGCATGCTTCTTAGGTAAGTTCTCTATCACCTACAGCCACACACCCCCCCAGGGAAACCAATGGGTGTTATAGAGCCTCCTTTACCCTAAAAATATCTGTTCAGTTGACACTGGCAGTAGGAAGTAAATATAAAAGCCCTTTCTGCCTGCCGTGGTATGGCAAGGTTCCTTTTTGTTTATTGTACAACCAACTTTGGTGCCATTCTCCCTGGCACAAGCCTCTGCCACATGGTGAAGCAGCAGATTGGTGGTTACAACCTCAATCCATCACTTACTTACAACCAGCCCTCACGAACCACCTGGATGGTATTTCATTCAAGCTCAAAGGTACCAAAGGCTGGTCCACACCAAACATTATTCAAACTTAAAACATTTTAAGTTAATAATTACCTTCTGCCTCCTGAAATGCCATCAGTTTCCACTGGATGTGTTACTGTTCTTTGCTCTCTTAAAATATTTGATGCTGGACACTGTTAAAATTGCTAAATGGCACTCAAAGATGTGCTTCCAACTTAAAGAATTCAAGTGTTTAAAATGACACGAGCCAGTATCACTCAGCCAAGACTGATTTTAGTGTTGGGATTGGGTAGAGGGGTGACTGGGAGAGACTGAACACACTGAGGATAGAGAGATACGGGTCCTTCACACTTAAAGAAGAAACTACAGTTTCAGCTTTGAACAACAACAACAAAAAACACATTTCATTAATATAACAATACACATATCCATTAATCTTAGTTATTCAAACCTAAACTACAATGCAGACACCTTAGTGAAATAAGAATATCATATACCACACTAGTGTCCTGCTAAGAAAAACTGAAAAACATCTCCTTTATGACATATAAAACTAATGTCTAGGCTTATAAAAAATAGTACCTCAAGATCTGGAGACACTAGCAAAAGGCAAAGAATTTTTACTAAAAACTTTAGAATTTACACTGTACTACAGCATCTTTAACATTTAAATGCTCTACAGAACACAAACGAGCATATACAGCTCAGTGCTTTGCTTCTCACACTAGCCTCAAAGTAACTGCCAGGTACTTGGCGGACATAAATGCATATATGCACATTTTTGCTATTAAGCTTAGCATCGTGTTTTAATTAATAATAATGATCTACTAGATTGGGAAACATCAATTAAGTTGACAACAATTATGATCACATATTTATTAACAACTAACTTCTCTGGGGTCACTAAACAATATACATCCTATATTAAGAAACTCTCACTGGGTAATATACATGAACCACAAATCAAATGCATATGATGTATGTTGTGTTTGAATTTTACATCTCTCAAAAACTTAATTTAAATTTTTGATTATAAGATTTTTATTCTAAACTACACACAAAACTTGCTGGAGTTAAAGTAAAATAGCTAAAATTGGTGGAGAGTTGGTTAACAGGTTTATTTGGTACATTTACCTCTGGAAGCCCTGAGGCCTATGCTCCAGAGCACCAAATGTCATCAGCAAGCTGGTTTGAATAAAATCCCAACAGGTTGAATAGGAATTCAAAGCCACAGTGCACACGCAGAATATGACGTCTCACACACACAAGAAAAAATTACCAAAATTTATGAGATTAGAGAAACCATGTCCCACTCTAAAAGGCCACAGAAGTGACTGAACTCATTGTGTGCCAGCTTTGTCTAATTCTACAGAGACAACAGACTTTGAGGTGTGGAAGGTTTGTCCACAGGTATTGCCCAGACCACATTCTAGTAGCTCACAAACCCTGACAATTGGTCCTGCACTAAGCAAATGGTTCTTTTAAGAACCTTTGGCTATTTTCATTGTAGTGTTTGGAGGTTCCTTTAACACCGAGAACAAACCAGCCATACAAACTTGCTCCCTTTACTAGGAGTCTCATAAATTAGAAAAGGGAAAGCCACAAAAGAGCAAACAACTACAGTTATTCTCAAACATAATAGCACTTTAGAAGCCTTATAATTTAATTATTTCACATGAATGAGTATTTGCCAGTGTTTTACATATGTGTGACTTGTGAGCCTGGTGCCTTCAGAGGCCAGAAGAGGGCATCAGATCCCCTGGAATTACAGATGGCTGTAACCACACGTGGTTGCTGGGAACTGAAACCCGGGCCTTTGGAAAAGCAGCCACTGCTCTAAACTGTTGAGCCATCTCTGTAGCTGTACCACTCCAAACCTGGTATATTTTTAAGACTATGCAAACCTAGTTTCCCATGTCCATCCCAATTCAGATTCAGACACAGTATGATAAAAAGCTTATAGGTCATTCTAACGCTGCCAAAGTGGAGACGCACTATTACAAATAATGTATTCATCTAGGAAGACCTAGCTTGTGTAGAAAAAAATACAAAAATGCACAGGACAGAAATGATGATCGCAAGGTCCGACCTCAACACAGACCTCAGTGCATGAACCTATTTATACTTTATTGTGCCAAGCCTGGATCCTCGGCTTGTATCTTTCCACATCTTTCTAGTCCTTTGAATCAAAAGACTTTAATTGAGAGATATTTAATCATATTCTCTGTGCTTCTGCAGAAAACCTTGAGGACAGTGAAGTGATAAAATACTTTGTTCCTGCTTTGAAATCACCGACAAAAGAGAGAACTAATGTTATTGCTATGGAGTTGCTTTGTGTGTGTATCAATCACATTAAACATACTTCAAACATCCCACTTTAGACTAAGCATTTGAGCTTATATTTACATAGTTTCTTGGATTATTTCCTATAAGGTTCCAAACAGAAGCACTAGTATTTTATTTATTTTTGTTTAACTTTTGAGCCAGGGTCTCATGCAGTTACTGCTGGCCTGGAATCTTGAGTTTCTGACGCTCCTGCCTTCACAGCCTAGCCTGGCTAAAGAGCTGTAGCTGATGAGCTAAGCCATAGTACTGTTTATTTCAATAATTTGATTAAGTCACAGGATAAAGGCAACTAAGTATATTCCTTTTGATCACGTCACTCAAAAACAGTTTGTTGAGTTTCAGAACTATCGTAACATCTCCCACGTGAGCCTCAGAACAGCCAACACAGGCTGTGCAGAGTTAACTTTGTTTTCAAGCCTCATCTATATCTTGAATTTGATACTTGATATTTTGACAGATATGAAAAGTAAATTTAAAGGGTTTATATTTGTACCAATGTTTACTAGATGCCCTTGATTTAGCTTTACATGACTATTTGCAGGTATTAATAGTCTAAAAGAAGATATAAATGATCAAATCACATTGTAATGAAGAACTACCTCTGGCTCACAGGTTCCCATGCTCATTTTAGAAGAATTTAGGATTTCTTTAGCAACTCTTTTTTTTTTTTTTTTTGTTTTTTTGGGACAGGGTTTTTTTTG